ATTGGTCCTAAGGACTTCAGTGTATGGTTCCACAACTTGTCAGACATTGAGATGGTGTTGTGTTTTCTGTCATGTAGGCCTCAGTATGGACTTAATGCAGAGGATCAGAGAACATTTACTAGTGTGGCTGTAAGGTACATTCATCTGATGTGCAGAGAAGTCACACAGCACTAAGCAGTGCAGCCAGCTTTCTGAGAGACTCTGTGTCACATAACAATATGACTGTGGTGTAAATATTACCTTTTTCAACTTGTACTCTCCCAACTTGGAGGATAAATAAAGAATATATGGGTACAATGTGTGAAGCCCATTTCTGGTGTCTCCCGCCGTGATATAGCTGGTGAATATTGCTAAAAGCGGCGTACAACCCAAATGACTCACTCACTCCTATTACTTGGGGGCGGTAGGGTTCAAGGCCCAATCACAAACATGGATACAATATGTGAAGTCCATGTCGCCCTTATGTCGTCTGAAGGTGGCGTAAAATAATATTCTCACTCATTCGTATTACTTACGTCAATCAAAGGTAAATGGTTTGTTTTTGGCATCATAGTGGATTTGTCGTGTTTTCTATGCAAGAAAGATATAACTCTATATCTATATCTTGTTCTTCATTAATGCATGGTTTTCGGAAACCTCTCAAGCGTTCGAACTCTTTGGGTGGATTTGTTCCCGGTTGCGACCTAGCGTCATTAGAAGCACTTGTTATCAGTCTCGATGTTGTTGGTTCTAACAAAAAACATTCCTCATTTACTACAGGAGACGCACTGTCAACCCATCAGTGTGATCTATTGGCTTTGATTGAGTCTTTTCTGGTGGAACTGGGTCATTTCGAACACATGTATAACATGTTTGTGGGTTTGAACCTTGCACACGTTCACTGGGCCTGGCACTGTTCCTGTTCACCCAACATCACATTGCTGTCAGTGTTAGTCGGTGATGGATGTGATATGACCTGGAGCTGGGGGTCCAGCATCCTCAATAATCTCAAGGGTATACGTTACGATCACTCACCACTATACCCTGGATGCATCCACGGCTTGGCCCGATAATTATATTACCTCACTTTGCTGGCTCCGCATTCCCATAGTAGCCAATCAGCTAAGCCGCCGTTACATCCGAGCTTGCCAGTGTCAACAAAGATAGCGGTCGCAGTCGCGAAGGTTTTCGTAGTGCCACTCAGATTTGGGGGGAAATAATACAGACAAATCAACAGATCTGAAACTTAAAAAAAATATATGAAAGAACTCCTTCTACCTCGTTCAGAGTACCCCTGCATCAATTGTGTTGCTAAGTTTAAACGGTTAGATAATTTAAGAAGCGAAAGTGAGTTGTGATTGGTTCGCTTACCTTCCCAGCGTAGACCCCTGATTGGATAAAAAGCCAGCCAAGGGAGGTAATAAAATCATCGAGCCAAGCCGTGGATGCATCCAGGGTGTAGTGGAGAGTGATTGTAACGTATACCCAGGATATTATCGAGGATGGGGGTCCAGCAGGGAGGGTGCACCCGTGGATTCCTAGAATAATTAGTCCTTGGTACTTCGCCACAGTTATACAAAGATGTGCTGAAACAGAAAGGGTACATACAGGTATTTTGTGAGTGGCTTGGAGAGTTTGGTTTAACATGGCTTTATACAGTACTTAAGTTAATGCGCGATGTGTCAACTTTACGAGCAGGAGGAGAGCCAAAAGGGATTCGGGTCCTAAAGGTTAACCACTCTGGTGAAACCAACGGAATTCTAACACACGATCATATTTTCCTGCGCCCCAAAGATACGCAACTCTGCACAGAGAATTGGACCAGCAAATACAACCAATCATACAACTCAAGCCGCTTGTGAAACGTTTGAAGGTTAAAATCTTACCTTACAGTGTACCCATTCACTGCTCGGGGAACAGAGGCACATTTCGAACAGTCACATACCTAAGGAGACACAACGTGTGGTACACGTGCTTCAGTGTAGGGCACGGTGCCATTGTACAAATCAACGTCCCTCTACGAATGTCTGTGTTAAAGTATGGGCAGGTGGGTGCTTTCAGCAATATTCCAGCAATATCTCGACGGGGGACACCAGAAATGGGGTTAACACAGTGTACCTATGTGGGGAATCGAACCCCTGTCTTCGCCGTGACGAGTGAACGTTTTAACCACTAGGCTATCCCACCGCCCTGTTAAGGTACGGGAGCTACGATCACTTCAACGCTAAGATCACCTTGTATAACGGCACCCAGGACAGAAGCCCTATAAGCCCTCTGGTGACTCTCGACATCACCCATCCAGTTATATAAGGGCGCTGGGGTAGCCTAGTGGTTAAAGCGTTTGCTCGTCACGCCGAAGACCCGGGTTCGATTCCCCACATGGGTACAATGTGTGAAACCCATTTCTGGTGTCCCCCGCCGAAAAACTCACCCATTCACTCAAATTTAAAAATTACATATTAACTCCTATTAAACAGGGAAACATTCTTACTGAAAGTTGCAGTGAGTGAGTTAGATTTCAAGGCACACTCGCATAATTTCAGCCATATTGTGGCTAAGCAAGTTATAGAGTCCCAATAAATAAAGTTAAATTTTATAACCCTGTCAACGAAGGACAGTGAAACAACTTTTATAAAAACAACTTAAGATCATAGATAGCGATATATCCACCAGAATCCCGTCCTCCACCGTGGCGCAACCCACGGCAAACAGGTTGCCCAATTTGGTCGCCTCTTACGACCAGCAATGGGGTGCTAAGGACCTATTTTGCCCCCAGTCTACACGGGGTAAGAGCTATTTGCGTTACCCAGCACAAACCATGAGGAGGTTGCTCTCCACGAGTGCCTGACAATTTTAATGTTAACTGATCTCAATTATCAAAATTTCAACATTTCCAAAATGAAAAAAACAAAACATCTTCAACAAAGGACCCCCAAAAGTTTTCATCGCAAAAATCACGTGTAACCCCGGGCATTGTTTCATTATGGTAGCTACGCCACAGTAATTGGTGGTCAGGCTCCGTGAGCTGGTTCACAGGCACACTGTAACGCAAATATGGTTGCGCAACACAGAGAAAGTGACCAGTCTTCGTTGCATTATTGGAAGACTGGTCATTTTCTCGGTGTTGCGGACCCTAGTTGCGCTACAGTTTGCCTGTGGCTGGTTGATGCATGTCATCGTGTACATTGTTCTTGGATCATGATTTTAATCGACCCGTGAAGATGCGGGTCAGAGTTGATCTTCAGTAACCCATGCTTGTCGCGAGAGGCGACTAACGGGATCAGGTGGTCAGGCTCGCCGTCTCGCTGACTTACACATACCTGAGGAATCCCACACCAGATACGCGCACGCGAAATCAAACGTATTTGTATCTTTTTGTTTCAGAGCATTGTTGACAACACGACCTGTCCCTATTCTTAACTGTGACCTTGCAATATTGTTGTACAAATGTATTTCACCGACTCTCGCGCCTGTGTTCCCATGGCGACAGAGGTCAGACTGGCCTCACAGTGTTGTGATTTTGAAAGGCAGTGTTGTATATGTAGCAGGGCGTGGAGTTATTCAACAGGTGACATTCTTACCTTGTCAGCTTGCTGACGGGGTTAACCTCTTTGTCATGTGGACCATGCGTCCGACTTCGGATCAGAAGGTCCGTGGTTCGAATCCCAGCACGGGAGTCGGACATTTTATGGCCGCTACATTTACAATACAGAAATAAAGAAATTCATAATACCGACATTACTTAGCCCTTATATTGCCATAGAGTATTTAATTCCAAAAAGTTTCTGTAAAACTTCATGGGATGGGGTCAAAATACCTATATGTCTTTCTAACGCGGTTTCTAAGCGAGACACGCCCCTATGCAAAAACGTTGATTCTAAGCGAGACACGCCCCTATACAAAAACGCTGTTTCTAAGCGAGACACGAAACCTATGCAAAAACCGTTTCTAAGCGAGACCGGAAGGTCGCGGGTTCGATCCCCGACCGCGTCACACCAAAAGACCTTCAAATATGGTACTTGTTGGTCCCTGCCTGGCGCTCGGCATTAGTGGGTACAACAAGGACTAGTCGGCTCGGAGTCAGTATAATGTGTCTGAGTGGGATATTCATGCTTCACTGCGGCATGGTATCTGAGTGGGCTAGCACTATAAAACCAGCTTCAGTCTGGGCTGGTACAAGCAGCCGCACATACACATACACACGCATGCACGTCGTCATATGAGCGAAATATTCTCAAGCACGACGTAAAACCCAATTTCACCTCACCTCACCTTCTAAGCGAGACACGCCCCTATGCAAAACGCTGTTTCTAAGCAGGACACGCCCCTATGCAAAAACATGCGTGTTGGTGTTTTGGTGAAAACTAAACGTGCCCGAGCTCATTAATTTTCAAAACTCGTTGACACCAAAACAACAGTTTCAAGATCAACCAAAACGTTTTAGTGTCGAAACTGATCATTTGACTCCCGAGATCCCCATAATTGCTAATATTATATGATGCGCCTCAACGAAACCTTAAGTAATGACTTGCTTGTATGGTGGCACTTTACTTTTTTCCCCGTTACTGTTCTATCTCACAAACAGCCGAACTTACTGTATACATTTTGTTGTACACCTAGACATGGCAGTGTTCACGGAAATCAACAAAGATAAGCACGGACATGTTCGGGGTCGGTGTAAGGACTGCCCCGAGGAGTGTCGAGAGTATTCCCAACCGCTCCGCAGACACAACTGTACATATTGCGGGTGTCCGGCAGGTGAACATGAGAGGGTGGAACCTCGACCGGAACTCGTCATCAGAACTCGTTGATACCAAGACAACAGTTTCTAGATCAACCAAATAGTGTCGAAAGTGACAAATAGTTTGACCCCCTAATTCTGAATATTATTTGATGCGCCTCAATGCTGCATTATGTAATGGCTTACTTTTATGATGGCGACAGGTTTTTACTCTTTTTCACCGTTACCTTTCCGAATCTCACAGACAGCCGAACTTACTGTTTTAATCTTGTTCTTCTAGACATGGCAGTGTTCACGGACACCAACAGAGATAAGCAAGGGGTTGTTCGCGGTCGGTGTAAGGACTGCCCCGAGGAGTGTCGAGAGTATTCCCAACCTGTCCGCAGACACAACTGTACGTATTGCGATTGTCCGGCAGGTAACCATGAGAGGGTGGAACCTCGACCGGAACTCATCATCAAGACAGAACCTGGGGAGGAGGAGGCACGATCTCCGGCACGGAGAGATGGCGGACCAACACCGGGCCCATCCAGAAGACCAGATGGCCTGACCACGGTCCCACCCCAGCCTGGTCCCTCCAGGCGAAATGAGTCGCCTCACCGGGATAAATCGCAAACAGTAATCCAGGTACAATTTCACCTTAGGTAATTTTTTTAGCTTTTAGAAAGTGTTATTTTGTCATCTTGATTATCAACGTTTTACGTTATCTTAAAATGATTTATCCTGCGTAGTCAACAGTGATCCAGGGCTTTTAATGATAATAATAAGGGCCTGATGATGTACGCCTCTCCGTGGTGGGCCTAGATAGAGGAATTTTATTCCCTGAACTGAAGGTACATCACCCAGTTAGGGCTGACCCCCCGAAGCTGGTTTTCTTACTGGGTTACAAATAGACAAGAAGAAATCAATCTTTCACTTCCGCAGCCCAGTCACCCAGTCCTCCGGTAGTCAAACCAACCACACTGGAGATGGGACTTGCCCCAGAGGAAGGCACAGAACCCGATCAAGAATATCTTGGTCAAACCATCTTAAAACCACGCTACTTGAGTGTGCGAGAGCGACAGGGTAGCCTGCAAATCCACGCCTTAATGGCAAGTCGCTTAAGCTGCACTGGGACAATGCCATGCCCATGTATGCTTTCCTGACGGAGCAAAATCTACGAGATCAATTCCGGCGGCTTAAAAATCTCATGCCCCGTGAGCCAGTTCAACCCACAACTGGCGCCCGTCAGGCCCCTTTGCATGAGCAGAGTGCTCAAGTGGCAGCAGACCCAAAACTTCTGATGGACGTCCGCGTTAACCTCTCTTCTCTTCCTGATTCTTCCGGCATAGAGCCAAATGGCCCTGAAATTTCTGACCCAAACTCTTCTTCTTCCTCTACTGCAGATCTTTCTGAGAACCCTGTTTACATTTTGTTCAGTTCTATTTATCAGGAAATTTGTGATTTACCTTTAGAGAAACGGGGTCCAATTAAACAACTAAATGTGTCTTTTCCCAAAAACCTTCTGCGGACAGTTCATTACATGAAGTGAATTGCTGTGTCTATGCTGCCCCTCGAACTTTGGAGGAACTTCACACAGTTTCAAAAGAAGAACCATCTAATGAAACCAACAAAAGACCAAGGAAAAACCGGTTTCTTGTAAAACTTAATGAAACGAGAAGAAATATTTCCTGGATTGAGCTGTGCTTTAAATTAAGATCATCAGGGAACCCCATGTTTAAAACGCAAAAGGCAATTTGGAAGAAATTAAAATTGCAAAACAAGACAACGAAAGAAAAGGTACTTCTCCAAAATTGCCATTTCCCTTAAGGCCAAATTAAAGGTTTGGACGGAAAGAAAGAAAAACATGGGAAAAGAAGAACAAATTTTTCAAACAAAGTAAACTTTTTAGAAATAATGAAAAACACTTCTACAGGCAACTGAAAACAAACGGTGATGGTGAGCATGAAAAGTGGCCTCCCATGGATGCCAATGAAATGTTCTGGAAACAGTTGTGGTCTATACCCGGCGACTGTAACCTTGAGGCACCATGGGTTCGTGGTTATGACCATGCAATGCATGAGAAAGTAGCTAGGTCGTTTGTCTGTTACATATCACCAGACTGCCTGAAAAGTGTCATAAAAAAGTCCAAATCTAATACAGCTCCAGGGCCTGGTGGCATTCGAAACCGGTACTGAACACTGTTCCTCTGTGTCCAAACACCATTACATCACTGTTTCAGTTCTCTCGTGGACACAGGTGATGTTCCTCCATGGTTCTGCAAAGGTCGGACAATACGCCTTCCCAAAAAAGGAGACTTGATTGATCCCAAAAACTTCCGCCCTATCACATGTTTGAATACTCAGTATAAAATATTCACAGGGTGTTTGACAAACCTCGTGTCATCCTACTGTTCTTCCAATGATATAATTTATAGAGAGCAGAAGGGAGCGAGAAGGGGGGTGTTGGGGGTGCAAGGATCAACTTCTTGTACAAAAAATGATTTTGGAAGAGGCCAAAACATATCACCGCAACCTCTCCATGTGCTGGATTGACTACAAAAAAGCATACGACTCTGTCCCTCACGAATGGATTCTGAAGTCTCTTCAGTGTATTGACCTCCCTGAGCGACTACTTGATTTACTCAAGTCTTTAATGAGTTGCTGGTCGACTCAACTTGAGATGTACTCGCAAGGTCAGTTGCAGACTTCGGAATCTATTCCAATTAGAAGGGGAATATTCCAGGAGGACTCCTTCAGTCCTTTGCTTTTTTGTTTGTCTTTAAATCCTTTGAGCTTTCTGCTCAATAGAGAGGAGGGGATACCATCCCGCACCTCCTCAGTACAGATCCCCAACACAGCTTACTCATCTCCTTTACATGGATGATATTGAGCTCCTTGCCAAAGGAGATACCAATTTGAAAGAACAGGTTCTCCTTGTCGAGTCCTTTTCTTATGATATTGGCATGACATTTGGACTCCACAAATATAATACTCTTCATTTGAAACGTGGCAAGGTAGTTAATGGTGGATCGGTCAGGTTACAAGGGGGAGGAGTTATTGAGCATCAAGGAGTTCGAGACAAGCTCCAACATGCCCAGATTCAAGAAAAACTTCGAGCCGAGTATAAATCTCGATTGAAGAAAATCTGGAGCTCATAGCTAAATGCTCGAAACAAGTCAAAGCCACCAATACTTTTGCTGTGCCAGTCCCTTCCTATTCCTTTGGAGTAGTTGATTGGACTAAACAAGACATCCAGAGTCTTGACCGCCTGATCAGAAGGATCATGTCTGATAACAGAGCCCACCACCCTCGTTCCTCTCTGAACCGTTTATAAATGCCAATCAATTCTGGAGGTCGGGGTTTGATTAATGAGGAGGCTCTTCATGATAGAATTGTATTGTGTACTTTTGCACATATTTATGTATCGGATGATCCTCTGGTGATGCATGTCAAGACTCATGATGAAAGGAAGGAATTCCACAGCTATTTTAAGCGTGCCAAGGTTGTTGGACAGAATCTGAAATTTGATGTTGATTTGTACTACTGGACGGTACAGCGATGGGAGTAAACCAGGTGAAGTCCTTTACCAAGTCTGCCCAGAGTCGGTCTTTTGTGGAGAAGCTTTCTGAGAAGCCATTGCATCGTGTGTACATGCAGTGTGTGGAACAGAATAGCAATCCCACCGACTCCTTCGCCTGGATGAACCGGCTGGTCTCAAATGTGAAACTGAGGGCTTCCTTTTTGCTACTCAGGACCAGTCACTTCCCACTCGCAATCGCCAAAATGTGATTCTTAAAGAAAATATTAACATGAAATGCTGACTGTGTAATGAATTTACAGAGACTGTCCAACACCTTGTCAGTGGATGCCCTTCCTTGGCACAAACAGCATATCTTAAAAGACATGATGGCATGGCTCGTTGCTTTTACTACCGTCTCCGCCATGCTTGTGGCTTTGACTCCGAGGTCCATCCATGGTACGACCCTGAACATGTCCAGGGCGTCATGGAAAATGATGCTGTCAAACTTTTGTGGAATAGGCTCATATACAGCCTCAGAAGAATTCATGCCAACAAACCTGATCTTGTCCTTTTTGATAAAGCCAATGAATTTATTTATATCATTGAATTTTTGTCCCTTTTGACACCAGTGTGATTGGCAAGATTCAGGAAAAGCATACTAAGTATGCGGACCTCGCCTTTGAAATGTCTCGCTTGCATCCCAAGTACACTGTCGTCAGGCTCCCCATTGTTCTCGGTGCCCTTGGTTTGGTACCTCCTGATCTCATGGTGCAGATCAGGAGAGTGCCCGGGTTCTCCACCGGGAGCACAGCCCTTCTGACAATCTGGGTAATGCAGAAGGCTGGGGAGCCTTCATATTCTCCGGAAAGTTCTTGGTGGGTTCGACTAGGCAGTGTTTCCTGGGAGAAGTCCCATTCGCTGTCTGGGCTGCGTGTAGAGGAGGGTGAGGGCCCTGAGCTGATGATGAGCCTTACCAGCCTGACTGTGCCAGGATCACCCGAACCCTCTCTGCTGCATACTATCTTTCATCTGTAAAACATAATAATAATAATGGAAATTTATATAGCGCTATATCCAACCACTAAGTGGGTGCTCAAACCCCTACAAAATAATAGTACTAATAATGTTTGAATAGAGTTGATAGTGCAGTGAACAGAGATGCGTTTTATGATGTGATTTGAACGCAGCAAAAGATGGGGACAGTTTTAAGGCGAGGGGCAGTTCATTCCACAGCGATGGAGCACAAACCCTGAAAGAACACTTTCCATAATAGGCCAGTCTATAAGAAGGAGTTTTCAAAAAGAATCTGCTTTCAGATCGCAGTTGTCTGGATGGCTTGTTGGGGGTTAGCAGTTCACTTAAATATTCTGGTGACATGCGTTTTAAACTCATGAATGTGATACAGATGACTTAAACACTATCCTCGCCTCAACTGAAAACCAGAGTAATGACTTCAGTATCGGCGTAAGTGAGTGAGTGAGTTTAGTTTTACGCCGCACACAGCAATATTCCAGCTATATGGTGGCGGTCTGTAAATAATCGAGTCTGGACCAAACAATCCAGTGACCAACAGCATGAGCATCGATCTGCGCAATTGGGAACAGATGACATGTGTCAACCAAGTCAGCGAGCCTGACCACAGGATCCCGTTACTCTCCTCTTACGACACGCATAGTCGCCTTTTGTGGCAAGCATGGGTTGCTGAAGACCTATTCTACCCCGGATCATCACGGGTCAGTATCGGCGTAATATGAGAGTACTTTGGGGCACGTGTAACGATTCTTACCGCTACATTTTAGACTTTTTGAAGTCTCCTCAGTGATTCTTTGCTGATGCCTATAGTCCAACCTCGAAAGTACCAAACACTGTACTAATGTCTTGGCTGCATCAAGTGATATCAGATGACGAATTTGACTAATACATCTGAGATGATAAAAACAGGTCTTGCACAAATTGTCAACTTGATAATACACACCAAGGTTTTTAACCCGGGATGTGAGATCTATAACAGAGTTACCAAACACAAGTTTTAAGTTCTTGTCAGTTGACATCTGGAGCTGTTGCTTAGAGCCTACCAACATAGCCAACATTTCCCTGCACACTAGGGATGTCACGATACTCGATGTCATGAATCGATACGTATCACGCTACCCATGTCACGATTCGATACGTATCACGATACCCATTTTGGCGGCTTTATTGCGTAAATTTAGTTACATTTTGAACATTAATATTTCAAATTTTATAATTGTCCATGAAAAGGTCAACATATTTTATTTTTCTCAGAGATTAAAAAGTTCTAATTTTCCATCTTTGCGCATGAAAAATAATCATTTATAACTCTCATAACATAAAATTAAACATGATACAATTGCAAAATGTAAACCATATATAAACATATGTCCTGGATCCGCTCCTGCACCATAAACCCGGTGATTGGTCTCTAATTAGGCGCTGGGTATTTCACTCTTTTATTTTGCCAGTTGCGGTACAATCTGAGCTTACCATTTGTAAACCTGTAATCACGGAAACTATATGTACCTGACTGCCACTGCCAGCATAATGTGTCTTGCATAGAACATTAATATGCAAAGTAAAACGATCATTGTGACACATTCTTCATTATTATATAGAAATATTTATTACAATTGATGGTCACTGAACCATTAATAAATATATACTCAACAACAAAAGTTGATATAGAAGAAACATAATATACTAAATGCAAGACAAATACATTAACAGAACAGACATCTGGCTTGTGAATGTTGACCATTATCTTGGATTACACACGTTTGTAAATGGTAAGATGGCCATGGGAATGTTGTCAGACTAAAATCACATTTCACAGTCTCATACCGGGTATGTCCACCTGTGGTGGTTGGTCACTGCGGGGACGGTCTCTGACGTGATTGGTTTGCTGATGTGGATGCCACAAGCTCCAAACAGTGTTCGAAATTCAATGGGTTTTTTTCCAGGTAACAGTACTAACACTCGTTGAACGAGTCTTTATCCACAATGAAAAAATCTACCCATGTCTAAATAGCCACAGACTGACTCATTTTTCACGAAATTGCACGTGCAAAGTCAATTTCACCTGGTTTTCGAACAGTCACTTCAAGTTGCGTGTGTACGCTCTGTTGTCTCATGGACGTGTTTTAATATTTTGGGTTAAACTTGATCAAATTTATAAAAAAAATGTATGTGTCACAAGGACTTTTGTCGTTGAGTATATCTACTGGAACAAAGGATTACACCTGCCTATAAATATGAGAAATTGTTCATACCTGTAGTTAGGGAAACTGCGTTATCTGCCAGCCACTGTCAGCATGGTGTGTGCCAAGCTAAAGGCACATGCAGCTTTTATATCACCTGCCTGCAGAGTCTGCAGGAGCTAGCCGTCAGAGCCCAGGGTGTACCTGCTGACAGCCAGCTCATCTGTATGGCAAGCTGCTAGGGACACACACAATGAATTTGTGAAATGTGGCAGTGGGTCTGTGCCATGTGAACAAATCGATATGTGACATACAGTCGAAGTAAACTTGGGCTCAGTGTTATCCGTTACACTGCAATACTGAGTCTAACAAACCCTAGTAGATGGTCGCATCAGCGAACCTTTTTAACTGACCAATCAGAACACAGCCTACCAAATCACGAAACATTCGTAACTACTCGTGTCATTCCGGCAAGCCGGATTGTAGGCCGCGGAAAGAGGCGAGTAGTTACGAATGATCGCGAAAGTTAACATTCGCACATACCGTTTTCCCCCGAAAACGTTTGTACTCGAACGATTCCGAATGCTATTTTCCGCTTCTGAGTGATGCACATGGAGGACGCTATTAATTACAACAGTGAGTAAACAGTTGCTGAAAATAACGTTTTGTCTATTATTCCAGGATGTCGTCTTGCGCAAATATAATCTAATAGTAACCATGTCATCAGAAACCCCTAAGCGAGCCCACTGGCAATTTCATCTTGCGTCGCCAATTTGTAAGTCCCGCCGAACCCTAAATAGTAGCCGTTGTCTGATTGGTTAATTCCTTTCGGCCGTCTCGTTTGAATGGACGGTCTTAGGTCACTCAAAGGTTACCTGACGCGACCTTTACTAGGTTTTGTTAGACTCAGTATAGCAGTGTAACGAATAATACTGAGCCTAAGTTACTTTGTTTGCTGTGACATAAAGATTGATTTTAATTGGTTTAACAAATTTCTATGAGCTTACCTTTTAAATTTTCGCATGTTGGTTTCAGAAACGTTGTAAGACGTTATTTGAGGATGATGGTGTCCAATATTCTCAAGTTAAGAGACAGCTCAGCAGAACAGAGCGTGGCGTGTTCACAATCCTTTGGAAGGGGAAAATAATTTATGTTGGAGAGCCAAAGAAGACGCCCATATTACCTTATCTTTGTAGCATATTTTCTGGTGGAAGCACACAAGACATCAGCAAATGTTTGAAAAACATACCCAGCGTTTTGAAAAGAGCTCACATAAGAATCGCCTGGCTGAAACACAAAGATGATGACCCGCACCTCAAGACGTGTAGAGAAGGCAAGAAAGGGATTTCATATCGACGGTGTCTGTCAAATCTGCAGGGGGAGAAGCCAAGAGATGTACTTGAAGGTTTAATGAGAGAGGAAACCATCAATCTGTAGAATATAATTGCTTTAACTGACACAAAAGTGTAAAGGAGTTACGTGTCAATGATGTCTTGCAAAATTAGGATGAAACAAACCTACATCTAATCTAATTTTTATTTCCAATAACCAGTCCGTTAAATATCAATACACTTAAAATATTCGAAGAAAAATGTATTCAAATTTTCAGATTTCATGATGTCAGATTAATAGGTACTGGTTTTTACGCGTACTTATTCACTGTAAGTGTGGTTATGCGTTTACCCAAGAATAGATGCTTGTGAGTTAAACTAGTAACTGTCTGGAATTCCACGCCTGGTTGGCGTCCTACCCACTGAGAAACTGCAGATAGTTGCATGTACCTCACCCTTTATTAACACCGGCCATCTTGAGAAAAGGCTATCTACTTTTGGTTAGTCTGTCTCACAGTCCTGAGCAACATTATTTTCCTGACTGCCTAGCCCTCCCTGCAATGCTAAAGCCTTAAATGAAGCAAGTCTAGATTTCCTCATTTTCAGCCTGAATCTCCCAACTCACTGGGGCTCCTTTTCAATTTAAATGGGTTTATTTGTTACTATCAAAATTATATATTATTATATTCAGGGACTAAGCGTTAGTCTAACTTTCAGATTAGAGGCCACTTAGTTGTATTATATCCTCAAGGTTGCTTATATTATAAAGCATTGATTTATCCTGTCCATATTTGTTTAGCTTTTGGCCGGTATCAACTCAACGTTTAGGAGATAAATATACTGTTTTGGTAAATCAAAGGTATAACGAAATTATAAAAGCTCTAAATCTGATCTACAACCGAACGCGTAGCATGAGGTTCTAAATGAATAATTTAGAGCTATTATAATATATTTTCGTTATATACCTCTGTTTTTTCCACATAGTATGTTTGTCTCCATGCTATCACAACTGAGTTATTAAGATTTTAAAAAATCCATTCTGTGTTGGAATTTCGGAGGTATATAACGTGATTATATACCTCTGAATGACTTTATTTCTACCATGACTTCAGTAAATACTGGATTGTGATTGGTAATCACAGTCATTCAGAGGTATGTATTCACGTTATATACCCCTGCATTTCCAACACAGTATGTTGTTTGTTTAAACCTTAATAACGCGGTTATGGTAGAATGGAGATAAACGTACTGTGTACGAAATTATATAGTAGCTCTAATTTGTTTATTTAAAACCGAACGCTACGCTTTCTGTTTTCAATCAGATTTAGAGCTATTATAATTTCGTTATATACCACTGATTTTCCAACACAGTATGTTTATCTCCTAATCACTATCCAGTATTTACTGAGGCCATGGTGGAAGTATGATTTGTGTCTGGACTTCCACCAGTGTTGTTTCTAAGCTTTTCGTTTCGCATTTGTCTCATTGACTGTCGCTATTAGGTTGCAAAATACCAAGTAAAGATAATAAACCGCATCTACTGCATTTAGTGTCTATCCGTAGACAGTTTCTTTTTAGAATATATATTTAATCATTTATATTTTTGATATGTTTTTAGTTTAGTCTGGTCTGTGGTCATTATTCTCACGTATAGTTACATATTTTTACAGATGTTTCCATAGAAACTGAGCGCGAGGGTTTTGTAGATATAGTGTTCCACCTAATGTTCCAATAAAGATGATATTCTCATAGATAATTCCTTCTTTATTCCTTGGAGCATTGCTTCTAAAATGACAGTTACATAATATATCACACCTCCACTGCGAAAAACCCCCAAAAGGAACGTGAATCTATGGAAGAACAACGTGTGACATATCACTCATCGTCTTTTTACTAAAGGTATTGAGCGGTGGGGTAGCCTAGTGGTTAAAGTGTTCGCTCGTCACGCTGAAGACCCGGGTTCGATTCCTCACATGGGTACAATGTGGGAAGCCCATTCTTATGTCTCCCACAGAGATATTGCTGGAATATTGCTAAAAGCTCCAATCACTCACTCACTGATCAGTGGTATACACACAATGCAATAATTGACATAGAGTAAACCATTTCAATAAGTTTCTATAATACTTCATATATTCAAACAACAGAATTGTTTCAGTGTGTATCAAAAGTTCAACGAACTTCTATCTCCTCTGTCTGTCTGATGTACACTGGCCCAAAAAAAGAAACGCATAGCTGAATTCTGATCTTCAAGGATTGTTTCGAAAAATATGGCATGGAATGACTGTCAATGTTAATATTAAGTGTGAATATAGCCCATACAATTATCCAACACTAGCAAACACAACCTTAGGTGATTATTCGCCAAAACACAGCACCTTGAAAAAAATCCCCGTATAATCTGCATGTAGAAAAATCTGAAAGCATGATGCACGTGCAAATACGGGATCTGAATCTTGATACTGATGGGTATAAAAAAGCCAGCAGTCCTGTTGCGATTCATTCTCCGAAATTCTGTATATGCGACCCGCAAGATGCCACGACTAAACGAAGAAAGCAGAAACAGAGCCATTGGACACTTGGAAGCTGGAGAAAGCCAGTCATCAGTTGCCAGACATCTAAACGCGAGGCAGAGTACGATTTCCCGTCTCTGGCAGCGCTACACGCAGCACAACTCGACCAGAGATCGTCCTAGGAGTGGGAGACCAAGGGTGACAACTCCACCGCAAGACCGCTTCATCCGGGTGTTTCATCTGCGAAATCGGACCGTCACTGCAGCGTACACCGCCGACAATGTTCCTGGGCTGCGTCGAGTCTCTGCACAAACCATCAGGCATCGCCTAAGAGAGCATGGAATCCGACCGATGAGACCACATACAGGACCTGTTCTGCGACACCACCATCGTCGTGCACGTCTTCAATGGAGCAGGAACGTTCGGCCATGGACCCTCTTGAACTGGAGGAGGATCTGGTTCAGCGACGAGTCGCGGTTTATGCTGTATCGACATGATGGCAGGATGCGGATTTACAGACGTCGAAATGAAAGATATGCTCGACAGTGTGTTCGTGAGGTCGACAGACACGGCGGCGGAGGTGTAATGATGTGGGCAGGCATATCTGTGAATGACAGAACAGAGCTGGTGCATGTCAAAGGGAATTTGAATGCTGTGCGCTATCGTGATGAAATCCTGGTACGTCATGTTATTCCCGTAATTGACGCTAGAAGATAAATTTTCCAGCATGACAACGCAAGACCGCATACAGCACGCATTACAACAGATTTCCTTGCAATCAACAACATTACAGTTCTTCCATGGCCTTCAAAATCTCCGGATCTTAACCCAATTGAACATTTGTGGGACCAATTGGATCAACGTGTACGACGCCGACAGCCGCAACCACAGACACGTCAACAGCTTGACGATGCGTTGCAGGATGAGTGGAGAAGAATCCCACAACGGCGGATCCGACGTCTTATACAGTCTATGCCCAGGCGATGCAGAGCAGTGATTGAGGATCGTGGTGGTCACACCAGATAGGGACTTTGTGACCGTGCCATCAAAAACAGAGACTCTCAATACCACTGTCAATGACTGTATGTTTTTGGATACACATGTCCCAATACCTGTGTGAATTTATATCGCTCTATTATCATTACTTTTTGTGTAATTTAAGTTATTAAAGCATCACTGATAACACTGGATTTTCACCTATGCGTTTCTTTTTTGGGCCAGTGTATTCAGTAAACATTCCATGTATCCGCAGTCTAGACTACCAGTTGTCCGACTTCCATTTTTGTCTAAGCCGCGGTGGCTGAGCGGTCTAGGCGTCTGACTTTGTGTGCTGGCGATTTGGTGCCTGACTCTGATGGTGTGGGTTCGAATCCCGGATGGGACTCAACTCAAAAAATGTACTGGAATCTGTACTTTACTGAGAAAGTGTAATCCCAAATATAACAGATGTTACATTTGACCACTTTCTAAAATGGCATTGTGTATTTTCACATGCTCTGTCGTCGTATCTCATGATCTCAATCACTAGATTATTTGGTCCAGCTCAATTGTTTGCAGACTGCTTCGTTGAAATACTGCCTAGTGCGGCGTCAAAACAAACAGATACCCATGTAATGGTCAGGTCAGAATCGTGCAATAGACAAGATATTTCTTACAGGTGTAGAAAGGGTTTGTGATTTCTAATCCCAACAGACCCGTGATGGTCCGGGTTAGAATGAACCTTTAGTAACCCCTATGCAGTAACCCCTGTATCGAAGACGAGCGTCACGTCCTACTACAGTGCCCTGTATACGACGATCTAAGATATGATTTGATACAAGAAGCCAGCTCCTTCTTTACCGACTTCATTCTGTGGCCAGAGAGTGTGAAGTTCACAGCGATTTTAAGTCATAACCATTTAATGGTTAAATGTGCCAAAGCCTGTTTTAATATGCTTAAGTGTCGTCGTAATCTTCTATATTCTTAAAACTCCTTTCAGAGTGTATACTTTTTATCGTATAAATTAATTATGTTTTAATTGTGTATGCCTATGTTTTACCTTTTAAGTATTCTGTATGTATATATTTTCATATGATATGTTTATGTATTTTTTGAATGTTTTTTTTTTTTTTATCTTTTTACTTATTTATCTTTTTATGGTATATACTTATGTATGTGTGTGTATAAACTTTTAGCATATATACAAGTCTCTCGTAACTCTTATAGAGTGGCTCATATATTCCTTATACTGCTATATTTTCCCAATTCTATGTGTACTTTTACTGTATATATGAGGTGAGACTCAAATAAACTATCTGTCTGTCTGTCTCTGTCTGTCTGTCTGCTTCGGTAAGAGGCGACTAACGGGATCGGGTGGTCAGGCTTGCTGGCTTGGTTGACACATGTTATCGGTTCCCAATTGCGCGGCACCCGTGAAGAGCCACCTCCTCGTGGTGGGTGCTGGGTAACGCTAACCGCTCTTCGACCCCCCGTTGTGGACCCGGGGGTATATTTGGTCCACCAACCCGTTTGCCGTGGGTTGCGCCCCTGTGTCGGTGGAGGAAGGTAGTCTGGTGGCTGAGGGCACTGGTTTCAGGAACAGTGTTCCTTTGCCCAACACACCACTTCGGCCCTAACTTCACTTAGACGGGTGGTTGAACTGGCCCGGTTCAATCAATCGGCTGGTCACGCCAAGCCCTGTGCATGGTGAATATTTTTGCACATTTAAATTATAAATTGGTCTTGGATATTTTGATCTATTGTAAATAAATTATTGTTTACTTTAAACTGCCTAGAGTCCTATGCCAGAAGGCGGTGGCTCATGGGCCAATCTGGCAATGTTGACCTCCAAATTCAATATGTGTCCAGTTACTTGTCATGGGCAGAACCACCCTGGCATTTGATTTGGTACACAAATATTGCTATATGTGTCATATTTGCTGGCGTATAACATCCCTGTATCCCTGGTGTCGGCATCTTGGAGATCCGGTGCTATTTGACATCGTCCTTGTTGACACTCCATGGTGGGTGGGGAGCAGGGATGCTGAATTATTTCGTTCTCATTATGGCAACCCCACAAGCTGGTTCA